GCCCGTATTCTTTGATAATATAAGGCAACACTTTTATTGGGATCTCATAATTGGGCGTTGCCCTAGCACCAAAATGTTGTAGTGTGTTATCTAAATATTTGGATTTTTTTTTTGCGTTATTGTTACAAAATTTGTTGGAGTAATATTCATTATTCTCAAAAGTTTTATGCAAACATCAGTATTACTGTTAGAAAATAGTCTTACCTTGAACCAGGGACAGAACTATGCCTTGGGGTAGGGGGCCTTGGCCCCTCCCCAACATTTTATTTTTTTAGTATTATCAGTACCTTAATAAGGCTTTAACAGAAATTCTTTTCTCCATAGTTTACCTGCAAGCAAGTTATTGACCGAATAGACATGCGGACTTGCCATTTACAGTGATGCATAAAAGCACCAATCTGAACTAGTAAAATAGAGTGGTAATGATAGAAACAATAACTTTAAAGAATCTAATAGGTATTTAACATTTTGAATAATCAGTATGGGTTCCGGGGGCTTTGGCACCTCAGCAATATTTTTTTATTTCATTAGATTTATCTTGTAAAATATTTTGACCCTTCAATTTTTGTTAATTTGGGTATGGTAGCAAAAAATACTTTAATTATCTCACAATTTTTTATAGTTGATAAGAAAATCCTCATTACCTTGTGATACCCGCCATATTTTAGAGGCATACATGCTTAAATATGTTATCCCAAAAATAGACGGAGTATTACATAGTACGCAGTATTAGATTTGATTGTATGAATGAAGTGTAAAAAATTTCACGGTAAAAAACGCATTAACACTCTGCCCCCCCTCTCGTCACAACCTGGCTCCGCCCCTGATGTTCACCGTGGGTTGCTCTCACGGTATAACAACTCGTTCAACAACTATTATTAGATACACTAAAATAGTAAAATACACGACCTAACCAAGCATTCCAGCCCAGTTGGTTGTGAAATTATCGTGCCTAGTGGTAGGTCTCGATTTGAATCCCGCTAGACACACAAGGTTTGGAAACTCAATAGAGTGAGTTTCAGCCCTATTACTCCAGGCTCCCCTGCCTCTCCGATCCCTTGGAGTAAAAAAAAAAGAGTAAAATACACGACCTTGAGTTATTTTCTGTGTCATGAGCGCATTAGCGTTGCGAAAATCACATTTCAATTTTATAAACGTAGCAAACAAATAAATCTAAACTATCTTCTATTATACAACAGCAGGAGAAAATCTGCCCAAAAATCCCGCCTAAAAACATCACATCAGATGTTCGGGTCGGGTCTCCAGTTTGGCAGGCCGGGTCTCAGAGGCTTGCTCAATTTTTTTAATGTTGTCCGATTTGAAATTCAAATGCTTGGCCAGTTGGAAAGCATTGCACAGCTGGTTTGGCCTGTGATACCTTTGCATTTAATGTTTGCCCATTCTCCAATGATGCTTTTTGAGAGGCTCAATAAAAAGATAACCAAAGGCAGGCTGCACGAATCACAATGCCTGGATATTTTATAATTCTCTAATATTAAAACTGGGTCAGCCGCATCTCGCATTAAATGGGATGTACTAGAAAATCTTTTAATGTCATTTCAATATCTCCAAGCATGAATTAAAAAAAAAGAATAATGAAAATCTTCGAATGAGTAGCATGAACGAATTTTTTATTATTTTTAAAGTGTACTACAAAATCTTTAGTAAAGATTTCGTTCTATTGACCAATGGTTAAAAACTAATTTGTTTAAGAGGCCACAACATTCTGTCCCTATAAATACACTCCAAATGGGTTGCAAAACACACCACCATCAAGCATTTCACAAGCAATTCATATTCCTTTTCTTTCAATGGCATGTTCATCTGCCCAAACAGGGATGTGGTCTTTGATATAAGACATTGACCACACAAAATCCACATGGGCCTTAAGGGTCAGAGTTGTGAGAATATATGAAGTGCCACTACATTCTAAGGTTGGAGAAACACTTGATATGGTGCTTCACGATGCTGAGGTAATATTGTGAGCTTATGTGTTCATAAAAGTGCATGCTCATAAAATGTTATTAACACACATATCCACGCTACCATAAAAAGGCCGCAACTGCCAATGAACAGACCATTGATCAAAGACATCAAGCCTATGCACTTAGGAACTTTTTGGTCCTGGACAACTACCAGACCGTGAAATGTTAAATGATGTTTACTTTAGTATGCAATGATTGAAATGTAAAGCAATGTCGAAGGTGAATGCATGATGCATATGCTCTTTCTGTGGAAATAAACCTAAAGCATGGTCTGATGCTTAAAAACTGTATGGGAGTAAACTCTTTCAAAGAACAGATTTAGATGACATGAATTTAGCTAATCCGGGGATACTTATTTTTTGGCCAACAGACCGCCAGACCACGCAGTTCTGAAGGACACTTTGGTGGCTGGCAGGGTATCTGGCAGTCCTATGGGATGGGCCATAAGAACAAGCAACCTCCATGATCAAGCTGAATGAAAAATTATTGAAATGAAAGCAAAAAAAATGAATAAAACATGTTTTAAAGAAAGTTAGTTCACATATTAACATAAAAATATTTAGAAAAAATGATACAAGTGTTCAAGCTTTCTAGCAGTTCTAAGTTCACAAAATTTCATTTTGATATTAATAACAGCTCTTCAATGAAGAGGATCACCAAAAGCATAACAATCTACCGTAGAAGAAGTCTTGAAGACTCGATCAACAAAGGTAGTCATGACCTGATTAATAATTTAAAAGAAGGTTTTTAATAGATAACCATGTATGTAGTTATGACCGGTTTATCAAGGCATGACCTGATTAATACTTTCAAAGTGCATACATGACTGAATACAAGTGCAGGTTTAAAAAAAACAAGAAGTGAATATGTTTTCCTAGAATGTAACTCAAACCGAACAAATTTCAGACAAGTTATAAAAGTGTTTTCCGAACTTGCATAATAATTAACAGAAAACGGAAACAATTTTTTGATTAACAAAATAAAGAAAAAAAATTGAAACACTCTTTCCAAGCTGAACAGATTTCAGATTTTAGATTTCAGCTGTTTAAATATTACTCAGAATGAAAAGATGTATTTGACCAAATGAGCGCACAAGTGAACAAATAGTTCTTTTTCACCAAAATCAGAATCTGTTAAGCAAAGTCACGTACACATGAAAAACAGTAAACAGTATAAAATATGTAATATCAGAACGACCAAAGGAAATGACGAACTTGAGATCCTTTCATGATGATCACTTAGATTTCATGAAAAAGGGCTTTCAAAAGGCATTATGTAATATTAAAACACTTAAAGAAATGACGAATCTGAGATCCTTTTGTCGTGATCACTCAGATTTCGTGAAAAATAGGGCTTTGAAAAATAAATAGCAGATCTACGAAAATCAGAACATTTTCTTTTGAAATCATATAGATCTATTTAAAAATTTGAATCTGTCAACCGAAGTCACATAGAAGCGAATAAACGTAAACAATAACGACTACTGAGATCATTGAGTATCACTCAGTGTTAGTTACAAATTTAATGACAAAAGAACATATTGAAGAAGGAATACCGATACGTAGAAACATGCCCTGAGAAGCTAAGAATGCAGCTCAAACAAACAAGGTAGCATCGGCCAAATACCGATATGGTTGGAGGTCTGTAAGGTCTTTGCTGAGCGTCGGTTATTCTCATGTAAGGCTGGATGAAGAAAAGAAACGGAAGGGCGGTGAGAAGCGTGCATGATACGCAGGTTTAGGTTTAGAGAGAGAAGATGACAATGTTCTGCGAATGAAGCCGCGGGGTAAATGCTTTACACAGGGAGTAATGGGAGGTTATATTGGTGGGATTAGGTTTTAAGTTTGGGTTGGGTTTGGTTGCTAATGGGCCGAGATTAGGATAGGTTCGGGCTAACCGGTTATATTTCTAATAGGCTGGGTTTGTGATTTATTTTTTAAAAACAAATTAGGATAGATTATGCATTGTTATTTTTTTAAGTCTCATATTATTATATTAATTATATGCTTATAAATTAGATAATAAAAATAATATTCTTTTAAATAATATCTAGATAGAATCTATGAATTTTATTATTGTTATTATAATTATTATTATAATTATGATTATATAATTATATAAATACATTTTCATTTAAATTAGTATGACTATTTAGGGTGATTATTAGCATAAAAACATTGCAACAATATCTTTGAAATATTGGTCAAATTAAATTCATGAATAAAAATGTAAGTTATGTTCCAACGAGGGTAACGTATTGACAAGTAAAAGTGAAATCTACTAGATACGTGAAATTCGATTTTTATAGGAGGTCGCATTTGTTTTCACCTTATTTATCTTATTGATAGTTATGTCACTGAGAAGAAATTTAATATGTCTTGATAAAAATATAAATATTTTATTCAAATATTGATTAATGTATGTTGAACAGAAAATTGTGATCCAAATCATACGGAACATATATGTATTGCGACATGATATTAATCAAATAGGCTGTTCTCACATCTCAGCACGCCCGACGAATCTGTTGTCTGCTAAAAAAAGGGTAATTAATGTATCCATATTATTTAATATTACGTATATTCTTTATATATTTATATATTATTTGTTATAAATAAGTTGACTATTATGAATTCATAGGCCTTTTGTATCGCAAATTTGAAATGCAGTTCCTCAGCTGCCATTTAATGGTTTTGAGAGAGAGGGATCGAGCAATGTGCTACTACAGTACAAATATTAAATGTGTCTTCCCTTTCACATGAAAAATCGGTTCACGCATGGTCAACTGTATGTTGTAGTGTTAAAGGTAACAAATCATAGAGGTTTGAAGATATTGATCTGCGGTGAAGATGAGGAGTCAACTGACCATATCACCAATGTAGTTTATAAGGAAGTGTTTCGCAATGTGTAGATTGGGAAACCCTATATAGCATTTACTTTTATCTACTTATTCTAAAACATACTTACTACCTATCTCTGAGTTTTCACTATCCGGTCTTTAATTATAATTTTTTGTGCATGTCACGTCTATAACAATTTTCATACATTTAACACGACCAAGTAATTTTTACAAATAATGTAGCATCGCCATTACATTTTAATATCCCGCGCATCGCGCGGGTGAGAATCTAGTATATTTTAAAAATGAGTAAAAATTTACAATTTACCTCATCGGTGCTTAGGAAGATCGAGAAGTGACTCAAATACATCCAAAATAAAGTACAATGAAAATATATACGGAGTACATCCATAATAAAGTCAAATTAATACAAATATCACACGGTTTGAAAAGTGGGTGATGAAATACAGAGCACGGAATACAATTTTACATATGCCGGCGATCAAGCCGGAGTTTGAATTCATCGTCGGTGATTGACCGCGGTGGCCGTTGAATAAGCTTGATAGCCGCTTGTCGAAGGAGCAAATAAAATATCGGAATTGGGTCTATGGTTATTTGGTAATTTTGATGAATCGGCAGCCGGAGACATCACTGACCCGCCGCCGGAAGCAGACTGAGCAGAGGATCTGTTGCTGACGGAGCTCTGATCGGGAAAAGGTTCAAGCATAGCAGGAGCGTGGAAGTCGGAGACTGTTCTCCGATGGGTAGAGCCCTCGCCGGGTTCAGGCCCGATCAGCGGGTGGTAGCTCCGGTTGGAGTTGTCGGACAGGCACCGGCCGAGGGTGTGGTGGTGATGGCGAGGCTTTTGCTTCCTGACGGCGTGGAGCAGATATGGGATTAATCCTTCCATTATATTTCTTCTCTCTGAATTGAATCTCCGATCGATCTTAGCTCAAATTTGGTATTATGCTTTTAATTTTGTGACAGAAGAATGTGTGTAGATGTTTTTAATCATGAAGGGCGACTAATAATGTCTATATATATACAGATAATGTATTTACTTTATGTGCTCTTTTGAATGCAAATGTTGACTTTGAACTGTCTAGATGTCTTATTTTAACCATATTTGGTAAAAATAAACACGTTATGCCACATCTTATTTATCAAACTTATATCAATATGCAATAATTTCAAGAAAATCATTAATATATACTAGTAGGACACAATCAATTGTTCAATACTTCAATGCAAAAACTATAGAAATGATTATATCTACATTGCATTCTCATTAAGGTGATGCATGAAGTCCAAAATGCTAACAGAATCAATCAGACCAAATCTAAATATATCAGATCATACTTAACCAAATATTTATCATACTAGACCAGTCTAATTCAAATCAGAACATATCATATTTAATCACATCATAAAATTAAATTTTAAAATTAAAATTACTCGTTTGGAGAACGTTCAAGATTGAAGCTAATGCATTGCGTTGCACGTGCGTAATGTGTTACGTTATTGACCTGATAGATCAAGAATGATATTGTGCGTGTAAATCACTAATCCAATCCATTGGATTTTCTAGTTGGGTATAGTTTCTATTTATGGCACTTATCCAGTTTTGATCCAATTTTACTTGTAAATCAAGGTTAGGCATTGACTTTTGTCCAAGCACCGTATGTGCGATTGTGCGTGTCCAGTTGGGCTAGCGGTCTTATCCAGGCTTACCACCAATCGGAATTAATGTCCCTTATAACACCTGAATTAAATGAGTATAAGGTAAGTATGTTAAGAGCATCCCAATGAGTATAACACCTGAATTAATAGACACCAGTTTGGTGTCTATTTATAGAAGGAAAAAATCTGATTTTTTGGTATAATTTTTTTTGTAAAACAAATTAATTTAATTCATAAAATATTAAATCAAAGAGTTGGGATTTGTGGCTAGAAATGTGGGAGGAGAATTCCTCCCCACTCCACCCGTACACTCCCTTTGGCAAAAGAATCCACTTGGCTATATTAAAAACCAAATTGTAAGAACCCATTTGTGAGCTAGCATGTTGACCGATCAAATTTTGATCTACCATAGTGGGAGTCAACTCCCATCAACTTTTATTTTTTTTATCCCAATTGAGCTCCCATAGTGGGTGCTCTAAGATTTGATGCTTGCCACCGGCATCTTCTCTTTCATTTCATTTCATTTCATTTTCATTTACTCCAGTGCCGCAAAGGCTTCTACCTACGGTAGGGTAAGGGGGTTTCGAATGTATGCAGTCTTATCCTTGTACTAAAGCACAGAGAGACTGTTTCCGGACGACCCATAGTGAAAATCACATCCAATATTGCACGGACTGACTGCTACTTCATAATAAAGAATTGCAGACAGTTTAGCAAGCCATTTTGCTTTATTCCCTCATCTTCTCAAGCCAAAAATAATGAATCTTTGGCTCCATTGCAAATGATGAAAAACACCAACATCTTCTCTCATTTGAAAAAATGTTTGTCACCAGCAAGGGAGAAGAGGTTTGATTAACCACCTCTAAAGACGTCATTATGATTTTACCAGCCATCGGGAAGGAATAAGATGTTTGCCCAATCATCTGCAAAGAAAACATCCCACTAACAAGAATTAGAGGAATTCCAGGCGGTGCCGATCCAGTAGCACCGCCGCAAAGCCGTTTTTAGTACGTTTCCATCAACCTCCATATTGACCTCTAGCGCTTGGACTGTGGCTAGATTCCCTAACCCGCGACAGTTCTTGCTCACGCAGCCCATCCAAACAATCACCACACCCGATTGGCCAAAGCTAGCGGGGACAAAAACACCATAAACCGAGGGGAACAAAAACATCGGATATACCAAGAAGGAAACCAGACTGAGATTATCACCTGTTGTCAATAGCTTCAAACCATGCCAGTCTTCAATCGCTTCACGAATTGCGGACAGCCTGCAAACTAATCCAGATGCTATGCCTCGAGTGATGCCTGTGAAATCCAGTTGCAAACGATGATGCCGACGACCTTGGTTAGGAGAGTTTAATTCCCAATAGGGATAATTTTCAATCTTATTTCCCAAATAGGAGTAGTTTTAAACATATTTCCCAAATAAGGGTACTTTTGCCTTGTCATCTGCCATATCAGCACCATTCCCATGTCCACATATGCCTTGTCTACACAATGGCCACATCACATATTTCACGTCATCCATTGACTCTTCCACATCATCTAATTTAGGTGTGCTATAAAATGTTTTAAAAAATTGCAACTAAGAGGAGTTGAACTCATGACCTTACATACACAACATAAACATTACACCGCTAGACTAACTAACTTGATAATATATTAAGTATATATACTCATGTTAAGTTCTGGAACGTATAAACTTAACTCATGTATTACTCGTTTCTTGAAAAATATATCGCTTCTTCCTCAAATAATCATAAAATATAATAAAAGAATAATAATTTCAGATATTCAATTAAAAACAAATACCTAATTAAAAGTATACTAAAAAGATAATTTTGGATATGAAATTAAAAAACTTAAATAATTCAATACTAAATAAAATAAATGTAAATAAGTGTCGTGCTATGCCCAAGCTCACACAAATTTAAAAAAACAAAACATTATATTAATTTTAAATAAGTGTAAATTTATTTATATATATTTATTGATTTTATTCTTTATTTAATTATTTATTTATATATTTATTTATTCATTTATAAATAATGTGAGTTACACCATTTTGCTACTGGAACAATAGAAAAATAAAAAAAAAGTACTGTACACGCGTGTACTGTTCACGCGTGTACTGTTTACACGAATTTTTTAAAACCATTGATTAAAACTATGTCGTTTCTGGAGATGGAACATGATGCTCACCGTGGGATAATCCCACGGTATAGGAACCCAAAAAATACGAAGAGTTGAAAGCTGCATGGGCTATTCCTTTAAAATTAAAAGCACTACCCGTTGTAAAATTAAAATTTTGAACACACGTTCAAGTGTTCAACTTCCAAACCCAATTCCACTGAAGTGCCACTTTTAAAATTCAATTTAAATTTTCGATTTATTAAACTCTTTGAAACTCGTTTAAATTATATACTATATACATTTTAAACTTCAATTTAAAATTTAAAATTCGTTTAAATAATATACTATATACATATATATATATAGGTACTAAATATAATATATAATAGTGTACGTATGTACTAAAAGTATATATATAATATACATATATAATAGTGTACGTACTAAATATATGTGCGAATGGTATACACAAAATAGCGTACACCAAACATTATACCAATAACTAATAGTTTAACTCCACCCATAGTATTTCACTTGAATTGACAATAGGCGCCAGGCGCGCCACCAATGAATAATCATTGAATGAAAGGTTAATGGTTGTGCGTGCTTAGCTTGTTGATTTAATTTGTTCATAGCAACTTAATGAAAAAAAACAAAATAATCTATGATGCATGTGATATAAATACGTGAGGCGGATAACATGATGTGTAGCTTTTGGTTGTAACTTCACAAGTCTATATTTTGTGTATATTTGTGTTTGTCTGTTGAGTGCCTTTATGATTCAGAACAATAATCTAATGCAAGATGAATGTATCATTTGATTAAAAAAAACGTGAGGATAAAGATTTGGATCGATCTATAGGATATACGGGAATTTCATTGATGATTTAATTTGTCTTTTTCACGTTAATAAAAATCATTAGTTTTGTTTTCTCTATCACTTCTATTTAGTACCTAAAAACTAACCGAATCCATTTAGTTAATTTTAGAATATATCGAGGATGTTAGTGAGCACCCAAAACTCACAAAAACGCTAGCTAGCTTTGTGTTTATTTGATTCATTTGAGAGTCCGTTTGATACGCTTAATTTCAGTTCATTAGCTTTATCGTTTCATTTTCATAAAAGATTTAATTTTTAATTTCGCGTGCTGAAATGTGTAATAATCAAAATAAGTAATATTGAGATTACTATTCTTACTAAATTAGCTGAAATAACTAATGTAGATGCTCATTTTAATATTCTTTATATAATTTATCTTTACTTTATTACGGAGTAATAAAAAGGCTAAAGGATCAAATAGACTCTCGAACTAACTTAAAAAGTGCGCGCAATTCACCCCTTATATAGGAGGCTCTGTCCGACCATCGCCAATTGGGACGGTTCCCAATGAAGGTTTTTGATGAATATTTTTTGAGTATCTTCTTCATTAAGTCTAGTTTGCTCATACTAAATTTCAGCTAAAAATTCAATCAGTTAAACAACGCAGTATATTTCAGAAAATCATTTGACTGCATTCCCGGTTTTATTTTTAGCTCAAATTTAGTATGGGTAAACTAGACTTAATGAAAAAGATGTTCAAAAAAATTTTTCAAAAAATTCCACCGGGAACCACCCCAAATGGCGATAGCCGGACATAACCTCTTATATAAGGGGTGATTTGCACTTTTTTTGTTAGTTCGAGGGCTTATTTGCCCCCCTTTCCCATTATATTTCAATCCTCTTTCTATATGGTTAATTTGAGAGGTAGAGTGAATGATGACCTAAGAGAAAAGGTTTAAAAGCCGGTTTGATTGTATCAGCATTATCAGTCAATTTTAATTTTCATCAAATACACAACTTTTTAGTTCGTGGTCTGAGTTGTATAATGATCAAAATAAATGAGGTTCGAGTTATATTTCTGACTAAATTGACTAAAGTTAGTGCACAAGACCATTTTAACAATTTTCATATAACTTTTACTTTATAAATAAAATTACCTTCATTTCCCCCCTCCCCCCTAACATTCAGCAGATTTAGCCATAACATCATCAATTTAAGCAGAACTGATTGATTCAGTCAATTTCAATATTGCCAAACACAAAAATGTTACTATATAGAGCGGTTGATTTTTGTTGTCTTTAATTTTAATTTTAGATATTTACATGAATGTTACTAATATTAATCACATGGATAAAAAGGTGACTAAGGCTCTGTTCGGCATGCCTGTTCAGCTAAAAAAAGGCTGAATTGTTTAAATGCAGTCAATTAAATATAAAGTAGACATGTTCAGTTGAGCAACTGAAGCGAG